GAATGCAAGTTAGAAAGCTGAGAACAGCTGCCTAGGCCCTATAGTCCCTATATTCCTATCTCTCTCAATTCAGCATCATCATTTTCAGCTTATTCAACCATTTCCAATTATGGTGTAGCCTCTCTCACACATTTAGATAATATCTTTGTAGTTGGGCCCATTGTTGTCTATTGTTGGCTATGCGGGCCCAAGTTATCCCTGCTAATTTCGTAGTAGACTTAGTAAGACGTAGTAATAGTAGACGTAGTAATTCATGAAAGCCGATGTCCTAAAGGAAATCTCCGGTTGCAAAAGATACACTAGCAACATTGGCACGTGAACATAAAATGGAATTATGAAGAACTTGTGTCTTGATATCTAACACCTCCTTTCTTCAGTTCAAAAATCAATATTTTATACATTTTGCCATAACAATTACTTCTGCCCTGTGATAAAAAAGTGATAAAACATAACAGTTTATCAATATTAAAAATGTTCAATTAGTTGGGAACTTTTTATATTTCCCACCGCACAAACTCCTTTCGTGATTACATTGAAATTGATGTGGTAATAGTTTTAATTAGCTATTATTATTAAATTAAAAAATATAAAACAAGTAAAAAAAGCCAGGCCTTCTAATTAATTAGCGGTGTATATATTTTTTAATTCTGACGGCAGAAGAAAAAACTCCACGTGAGAATAATTGGCTATAGTGGCTATGGCATCGGGTTGTTCACATTGAATAGAAAGTAAATTCTTGTCTTTTGCGCCTAAATTTAGCCCAACAAAACAGACATTCCGATTGAACAGCCCACGTGTTTCATCATAATTAGGACGTTGACCACAGAACGGTTTTCATCGTGCGTCACAACACGAAAATCGTACAAATGTGCATGTATTTTTCTCATTAATAAGTTAATTAAATTAACTATTAAAAATGTTAATAGCTCATTATAGATTGCTAATTATCTACTATCTTTGAAAATTACTAGACGTCTTGACGTCTACATGAACTAAAAAATGTTAAGTATCTTATAACCACATGATCGAAAAAAAATCGGCGTCCAGTTGGCTTGGAAATGACGATCGATGACATTCCCTGTATAATTTTACATATAAAATGACAGCGATCTTCATTTCATAGCCACCGCTGACGCCGTTTTTTTTTCGATCATATTGTATTAACGTCTCCATTTTGCTGCCAGGTCCTACTTGTTTATACGGATTCCGAACCGAGGTCCCCAGCCATATAATGCCTACAGCGTGTGTCTAAATCAACGACTGAAGGATACAATGACCAATAGCACCAAAAACCTAATTGTTACCAGTTGAACCAACCAGTGCCAGATGGTTATTATAAAATAATTCAGAATTAAATAAAAATTGCAATTTTAATTGTTCCACAAATTATGTTTTATAAATCTTTGTAATAGAGATTGATAACACATTGACAAAGAGCTATACAGGGTGGTCCGAACTGTATTCCGGAAACTTCGGCAGCATATTCTAAAGATAAAAATAAGTGAAAAAGTTCGTTTGGTTCGTCTTGTCCTAAAGTGCTAGGTTTTGGAGATACAGGATATAGAAGTTTCATTTTTATTTCGATTTTTTCCATGAGAAATTTGATTTTGATGTCAATATGAGTCCTACTCGAAGGGGGCGCCACCTATATGTGTTTTAAGAGTAATAACTTTTCGTCCGTACCTGTAAAAAAATACTGAGTGAAAAAATATACATTTCCGTGACTTTTTACATAAAAAATGTATCTTGGTAAAAATCGCTACGAGCTCTAGATATTTAGAATGGAAATAGTCAATACATGTTATTTTTGACAAAAAATATTTGACTGAAATAATAAATTTGGGAAACTTTTATTTTTTTAAATTAATCATAAATTTTGAGGAAAAAAAGACGATAAAACAGTTTCTGTTGAACTTTTTGCACCAAAACATTTCAAATTTATGATTTCAGTCTAATAACTATTTAGTCAACATGTTTAATTTATGTCAATGATGACAGGTATTGATAATTTCGGTTCCAAATATCTCGAGAACCATTACTCGTAGCGATTTTTACCAAGAGACTTTTTTTACGTAAAAAACGTCGCAAATGTATATTTTCTTTTAATGAGTGGTTTTATACAGGTACGGACAAAAAGACGTTATTACTCTTCAAACCAGTTAAAAAATATGCAGGTGGCGCCCTGTACAAGTAGGAGTCATATTGACATCAAAATCAAACTTATCGTGTCAAAAAATTCCCAAATAACAATTTTCATCCAAATATAAACGTTACTTCAGAAATTATTTGAAAAAAAAATAAAATAAAAATGAAACTTCTACACCCTGTATCTCCGAAACTAAGCATTTTAGGATATACATTTATACAAACATTTTTATTTATTTTTATCTGCAGAATATACTGCCGAAGTTTCCGGAATACAGTTCGAACCACCCTGTATAATATAATGAATTTTATCAACATAATCTATTATATGAAGAAACTGTTTTCTTGAGTTCATTCTTCCTATACATCAACAAACTTAAAATCATCTAGTATAAATCTATGAATAGCTCAAGGCTGACATAACATGTTTTTGTATTCCATTTTATAGATAATTCAAAGAAGAAAAAAAAAATAAAAGGTTTTCTTCCAAACTGATAGAATGATGAAAAACAATTTTTCGTTTACTATTGCTTTTCTTCCTGTTTACTGATTTATTTGTTGAATATCCTTGATAAAGAAAAAATCGATCCTTGGAGGTAGTTTCCTAGTTTACTTCCAGTTACACGGTGTCTCAAATACGAAATACAGTAGAAATAAAAAACGTAAATTTGAGGAATCAGGTGCTTGTCAAAAATCGTTTAAAAATCGAGGTTCTTCCGAATAAATTCGGAGACAAAAAACATCTTATAAGTATATTTTCTGCATATTTAAAAAAAATTAATTGAAATAAATAGCAGATTTTTATTGTTCTTTTTAATTCTGTAACAATATTAATGTATTCAAACATTTCGATTTTTTGAGAAATATTTTTTTCAATACAATATGATAAATAAAACGGAGTCGGCGATGGCTATGAAATGAAGATCGCTGTGATTAAATATATAAAAATATATTGGAAATGTCATCGATCGCCATTTCCAAGCCAACTGGACGCCGTTTTTTTTTCAAATCATACGATACTTCATTCTTTACTAGATTCAAAAATCTAGTAGATAGGTATAACACTGAACATTATTTGATATTATTACTGAGTAATTGGAATTATAAAATTTGAGAAAAAAACTTGTACCCATCATACTACTTGATACATAATTTTAGATACTCAAATATAACGCAAAATTTATCTCACGAGAAACAAATATTTCTATAGATTGACCACTCAATGTATTTTTTCAGTTATATGGGACCTAAATATTTTTTTTAATTACAATTTGTCTTAACACATCATTTTAGTTATTAAAATATTAACACAAAATGGTTATTTAAACATGAGTTAAAATACCCATTTAATAATATATTAATATTTTAACATTTTAGGTGTTAAATAATAAAGTTTTATATGAAAATATTTTGATAATATAAAAAATTATCTGTGAAATCTGCATCCACTAGGTAGGTACCGAGGTAGATACATAAACCTAAAAAATCATAGATTTATAAATACATTAGTAGCAAAATTATTAGATAACCATAAAAAATAAAAACATATGTCAAGGATCACTATTAAAATCATACACTATACACTGGGCAACTAATAATTTTGATTAATAAGTGTATCAAGTTAAAAACTAGTTTCTAACATTTTAAAATATCCTGTATCAACATAATACTCATTCAATAAAATAAATGATAATTAATTTTAATAGAGTTATAATAGAAATATGGATAAAATTAATTCAAAATACCAGACAATCAAAAAAAGACCACACCAAATGTGACTTGGAAATCAAGACTGCTATCATTTTATATGTAAAATTATTATTATATTATTGTTAAATATGGGAAATATCAACAATCATCATTTCCAAGTCAACTGGACATCGTTCTTTTTTTTTCGATTATACGGTACTAATACCGTATGATAAAAAACCGCGTCAAAGAAAGCTCAGGAATGACACTCCAATATTAATTTCGGCGAGGTCAATCTCTAGACGTCGTTTACTAAAAATTGACATAAAACTTCCCAGAAATTTACACAAATTCCAGAAAGATTAGAAAAAGATCGAAGATTTTCAGGCACACAAATCTATTTCTTAACCTCACTAAAACTATCATCAATTGTCATTCCCCAGCCGCCTTTGACGCCGTTTTTTGGATCGTATGGTACCTGCAACTCACCAAGAATTTAGTTCAAATCAAGTGTTCGTTGCTTTACTTTAGGTCCCTAAAAATAAACTTGTTTCTGCAAATTAAAGTTGCAGAAACAAAAAAAGAGAAAAGAAACCATAACTGGCTCAACTGACTCTAAATCTCAGCAGTTTAATTCACAAATTCACACACTCATTAATAAGACACCATAAGCCCTTACACAATATAGAAATCTAAAATTAATACTTGGTTCTATTAAATACTATTGTTCCTTTATAAATTCATTTCTCAGTTCTATGCCTACATAACTAATATATTTTATTTAAATTTAATAATTTTTAGAAACCTAAAGTGTAACAAACAGACCATTACTCACATATCCATTCGTGTAATTAATTTCCCGATCATTTGAATGGAAAGCACTGGTGTTATATCGATAGGAAACTGCGGCACGATGTTTGTTTTGCACAAAGGTAAAGACCAAATAATGGATGAATATAATACCTGACAAACCGTCAAAGTATTGTTTTTACGGGATTTCTCCGTTTCTAAACGACGACGATTAACACACGGACAGATAAAAGCACAAATTCTTTGATTATAATCATAACTTCGAGAACGTTTTGTATGTTTGCCAAGCCAATCGCCATCATGGCGGCGGTGGTGCAGAGGAGTTCGAAATTTTTATTTGAAGATACACAACTTACCTAGCCACGCACTAGCAAAAAATCTTCACGTACAGACTTATATCGATGAAAAGACAAAAGTTCTGGTAATTAGGATATATAAAACAGCAAAAAGGTGGAATAATTCACAAAATCTTCAGTGGAACAAGGCTGGGCCGCTGCTTACAAATGACGCTGTCACCATTTTTGACAGTTCAACGCAAAATGGCCGACTAGATGGTAGAAGTGAATTAAGTTTGCCGCAATCCTAAATACTAAAATTCGATGTACAAACTTAAAATATAATTTAATTATGTTTATATTTTCTTGCTAATGATTAGAATAACCGATGCTATTAATTATTTAAACAATTAAAAGGTAAAAAAACGTATAATTTTTAATTATTAGAGAGTTTTCGTATTTATTAATTTAAATAGGCGCCAACTATCGGAAAAAATGCAAACTCTTATCGCTGACGTGTTTTTTTGAATTTTACGACGTTAAATAATGATTTTTTAGAAAGAATTTGCGGCGAATTCGATGTGCGGGTCGGGTTTTTCTCGCGAATATAATTTAAAATGCACAAATTAAGTAAAAGAAAGCGTGATCAATGAAGAACAACAAACTAGAATACACCCATTGACCGCTTTATGCAGTGACAGTTGTAACGTAATTTCCCCCTCCGCCCCAAGTCTAGCCACTCCATGCTTGGCTAGGTCACGTAGACTGACGGGAGTTCGTTGTGTGTTTTTAATAGTGATAATCGTGGAGTTTTCCTAATTTTCCTTCCGCTATCTCTTGTTTATCGTGCTGGTGACTTAATCTGAATCACGGTGGTCATTAAGCAATAACCTTTATCCGGTTTAGTGAATGGTTTCGTAAACATTCTTCTAACAGTGTGACAGACAGTATCGACAAACAGTTTGATTAAAAAGAACTTTTAGTGCCAGTTCCAGATGAAAAGAGACTTTAAAATGAGGCTTACAAAGAACGACAAAAAGGACCTGGACAAGTTTACCAAATTTTTAGCTTTGAAGGCTACAGAAGTGATTGTTCAGTCCCGATTAGGCGAGAAAGTTTCGACACCTTGTAAGCCACATGCCAATGGACCAGATTGGGTAAGTTTAGATGTATTTCACATTAGAGAATTGCGAAATCTTGTTTATGAGAAGTATTAATGTCGTCAGTAGGAGGCTTTTATTTAAATTTAATACAAATATCTCAAGTTAATCAAACAACTTTAGAACAGGAAAAGTATAAACAAATTAAACCAAAGCCGTGATGTTAGAGTTGTTTACATTGTAATTAAATATTGAAGCAGCTGTCCCTGATTCTAAACGGGTTTTAGCCTAATATACTTATTTTTTTCCAGTTTAATTTGAACATAAATGATCTTCCCGAAGTGGTGATTGAAGCAAAAAAAGTCCTAAACAGTGAACTACTGTTAACGAGGAAATTCCCATTTTGCATTGAGATATCTTTGCGAACAGCTGAGGGTGATAATATGGTACTGGAAACTTGGTGTGCTAGGTTATTGCCTGAGCAGTGCGATCCAAGTACAACAAACAGTCAAACCATATATAACCGTATGGGGATATTGTTAAAATCGTTGGTTTCTGTTACAAGGGTTACTCCTGCGTATAAACTGTCACGCAGACAAGGTAAAGGGTCTAATAAGACCTCATCAGAGAAAAAAGTAAATCTAGAGATGTTCTAAAAGTCAGATTTTTGTTTATATCTTCCAGTGTTGCAACAATTTGGAGGAATATTGTTTGAACATAATTAATAATATGCATTGCGGGAATTTAACAACAAAATATTTCATTCAGGAATATATATTATTCCTTAATATTATGATATTTCAGTATAATGAAAAATGTATACATATTCATTGTTTTTTTAATATACCTAGTTGTTTACATTATATATTTGTAGAATTGCTCATAGTCTGACAACATTGTGGGTATTTCTGTTTGCTAAAGGAATACCTAATTTGTTAGTTACTGATAAATTTTATATAAATAGTAAAATCTTATAGATACCAAATAAAATTAAATATTAGGGCATCTCTCTATTTACATATTTCTCTGAGAATAAGGCTTTTTAATAAAAAAACATATTTTTAAAGTTGTATTGATGTTTTCAGGACCAGATTCTTATGTGATGTGCTACAGAATGTACATGGACGAACCCTTGCATCACTGCCTTGGTGAGGGTTCAAAACAGATTCGGGTAGGACAGATTTGTACCCCTATTGGAACCCTACAGCTCTCTTGTGCCTATAGAACTAAGATGACAATTTCGCCGACGCAGACTAGCAGAGACAACTCTATCATGCTCAAAAGTGACCATTTCAACACAAATTTAAGTCCAAAGAACAGACGTTACAGCCAAAGGTATGTAGAATTATTATTAATTTTAAAAAAAAATTATGAAAAATTCGTTATTTTCTTGATTTTTATTTTTTTTTTTGGTTATTTTAAGCAAATTATGAGTAGGTATGTTATTTATAGTTTGCGGTGGTGCTTGTCAGATATAACACCCTCCGAATTTTATACTTTTTTTTATATCACTCGAAAGCATACATCGAAATAAGTATTCCAAGTCAAAAAAAAGTGTGGATGATCCATAATTTAATGAAAAAATAAACATCTAATTATTGCTACAACAGGCTACTTTCTATGCGAAAACTCCTCCAAATTTTGGGCTAAACTTATAAAAAAAAGCATTTTTTTTGTTAAAAATAGCAAAATCAAAACTAAAAAGGTTAAAAAAAATACGGGAAACTATAAAATCTGTCAAAAAACTTCCATATTTTTTGGTAGAAGGAAGGTTTTTAAGAATAGATTATCTCTTACTTTTTAACAAAAGATTCGCCGGACCCCGTGATATCGCATTTTATAAATAGGTACTACCATACATTTTAAAGAAGGTAGAGGTAATTGTGTCTTTTCTGTACCTGACTACAACTTATTGACCACCACTGTAAATACCTTTTCTGAATGAGCATTCATTCTGGGAATATAAGTTACTTTGAAAGATCGAAAAACGAACTGTGACAGATTTTGAAAGAAGGAGGGATGAAAAAAATAAAGTAATTATTGTTTCGAAATTTCAGAGAAACTGTAAGGACTAGAAAAAAAAAGTTAAGTTAGTTTGTTGTCAACATTGCCAACTAAGTGAAATTAGTCAAGAAAGAGATAAGAAGTGGCTATAACTCAGTAATTTTTCGAAAAAAAACATATAGCTGAAAAGCTTAAAAAATGGCGCTTTTTATGAAGTCATGGGCAACTATGGTTTCCATTTAAAAAAAACATACAGTGGTGGCCAAAAGTATGGAAACTTTTTTAATTTGTCATTTATGCTGAGAAATTAAAATATGAAATAAAACGACTTATATAATCGTGACCTACAAATAATTTCCTACAAAACCTAATACATTTAAATAAAAAATTACAGCTATCAAAAAATATATAAAAAATTATGAATATTTTCTTGGTCAAAAGTATGGAATTCCCCTTCCACTCATTTTAAAAAAGTGAAAAAATTACCAGAAAGTGTGTTTTCATAACAGTAATGCTTCCATAAAATTTTATTAGTCTATCTCTTTTCGTTTTCAAGATAAAAAATAAAAACATTATTTTTCCGCCATCTTTGTACCGCAATATCTCCCTATTGGTTGACTTTTGACCCAACGTTTATGAAGCAAACTACCCTTTATTTTGAACAAGGAATCACCCCTGAAGTTTTTTCGCATTTGTTTTGAAACACCCTGTATATGACCCCACAAAACTGCAATTCTTTCCCCATTTAACCGACTCTCTATCTCCAGTAGTTTACCAACTGAATACTGAATGTAGCAAAACATGAAACGTGTGAATACAATCGTTGTTTTTTATTTTTCATTGATAATGAATCAGTCAGACTGCGTCAGCGAAACTGACAAGTGAGAACCCGCCTTTAGCGCATCGTCGGAGTGGGGCGTTTTAAATTCGAGCGTGGGAAAAATTGGCGAGTGTCAAAGCTATGTTATTCTGTAAGCTGTCCCAGCCCTCTTCGACGCCGTGTTTTTTTTCAATCTTACGGTATTTTACAGTTTACAGAGTATTTTTTCAAGTTTTCTTTTGATTTAAATAAACGGTTAAAATAAAAAAATCACTCGTTTTAAACCAAGTGCTTTAAATTGGTCAAACCTTAGTGGAATTTCTTGTTTTAATCGTAATACATGTCTCGGTGAATGGATACGAACGTACTAGACGACTTTCTATTGTTGAAAGAATTTCAAATGTCGAAGAACTATTACTGTAAACGGCCATTGGAACGATGACTCAGGCCGGTTGTTAGACGGCCATATAGGGCACTACGATTTATCTAGAGAATTTTTTGTGTTCCCGTTGATACATTCAGTTCTTTCTTTCTTTATTGAATTGGTGCCTACGCGTTTCGGTACAGAGGTGTGTAAACTTATCGACCAGTTAAAATGTCGATAGTTTTTAGCATTGTTTTTATTAGCGATATATCGTGGATACTATATTTCTTACGCTGCCATTTTCACAATTAGGTTTGCCTTTTTTTACAATGATATTTAAACTATGAAACCAATTTTGTAGTAAAATTACATGTTTGTTTCTTTCCAACATCGCTAAAGAAAATGCTAAAATATATTTTATGATTTTGATAAGGCGATACGGTATGGTCTTTAGGTATGAACTATAGGTGGTCTTTCGTTTGAACTGATAGACAAAACGTTACGTATAGACGGTAGGGGTATCGATATTTTTTAAATATCGATACTGTTGTCGAACATCCTTTGTTAGAACGCCTTTATGCACAATGGAAAGCTGGTTTTATCACGTGGGCGTTATGCGTAGGAATGTTATCCTTTTTTTTTTTCGCTGTTATTTTGCAAGTGACTGATACCAACGCAGTTTTCTTTCACTTAACATTAAAATTACCGTTGTTGGTTATTTTTAAATTTCGAATTGTTACAAAAATGTCGGCAGCCATGAACTTCTGCTATTTATAAGAACCACCGCAACGCTAGGTTTTGCTTTTGGCGATTTCCATGCTGGAATAACTCTGAGTTATTTGTGGTAAAAAAATTCTGGGGCTATTTTCGGCATTGCAACAAGCGACAGTGATTTTTTTATTAGATTTTTGGACGGTTTTTTTTATTCGCTATATTTGTGGGTTTAATGAACCAAGAGAGTGAGATAATTGGTATTTTTTTTGCTAATATTGTAGGTATGTGAATAGCCCCAAAAGTAGAGTAAAATTCCGTTTAAATGGAGAGTTTTAAAAAATAAAACGTCTATAAATTAATATAATTACAGTTGAGGGTTGGAACCTTTGGTGTTAAACAGCAAAATAAAAACACTAAATCATCACAATACACCAAAACACTTTTACTTTTACACTGGACGCGCGTTTCGCTAACCATGTTAGCATCATCAGCAGATGTTTATAAACTGTACATCTGCTGATGATGCTAACATGGTTAGCGAAACGCGCGTCCAGTGTAAAAGTAAAAGTGTTTTGGTGTATTGTGGTGATTTAGTGTTTTTATTTTGCTAAATTAATATAATTAGCGATGCAGTGTTGACTAATACATTAACAATTTACAGAATATTTGTTGTTAAGTTGTATATACAGGGTGTTGGAAAAATGCACGGCAAAATTTATGAGTTTTTTCCCGCGAAAAAAGAATTTTTGGAAAATTTGGAATTATATGCGGTAAAATGGGTATTATTTACATTAAAATGTTAACGTTACAATAGCAAGTGTAATATTATATTTGATGGACAGATATAGGGTATATCTGCTGTAGAAATATTTGTTATAGTTTTCTAGGACACAATATTATAACTTTTACAGTTATTTTTCGATTTATCATAAAGTTTTAAAAAAGTTGATTTTTTTTATTTAAATCGCATGACTAAAATTTAATAAAATCACAAAATTTATTTGTATAGCACATATACCTACTTTGATATTAGATAATACTAATTTCATTCTTGATTTAAGACTATTTCCTGTTATTAGGAGCAAAAATTATACTTTTTTTTGGATGAGGCTTTCACGGACCAGCGTAAAGTTAGTCCGACGTTACAGGGAGGCACAAAAAGAACATTTTTACTCCGAATAGAACATACTATTTTTTCCAAACATTTATTATATTAAATTTAGAGAAATTAAAATACAGAAACGATCAAGTGGTTTTCAGAATTTAAGCAAAAAATATATTTTTTTAAATTTCAGCGTAAAATAATTCGGTTATTTTGGACTAATTGAAAAAAAAATATTTCTTTTAATAGAAATCTGCCAGTCTTGAAAATATCTATGCACTTATTTAAGACTCACCCTGTATTATAGGACATGGTATGTATGTGTTTTTATTTTATCTGAGCTTATATGGGCAGAAAATGTTGTCTAAAAATGGTCATATCTCAATAACACCACTCTGTGGAGATTATGACATTGTTTGGAGAACGAAATTTTTTTTGGTAAATCTACTGAGCAAAAAAATAGACATTACATTTAAACAAATTACAACTTTAGTGAAAAAATACATTTGAATCATCTTGTATAGCTATGTAAATATTATTAAAATGTATGCTTAGTACTGCTACCTGTATATTTTGGCAAAAAAATAGATTGGAGTTAAAATGGATATAAAATTTGATATGGTTGTTTTTTCGAGACTTTGGGCCACCCTGTATATCCTGAACGCACTGTATAACACAACAAATTCTACAAATATCAATCATCATAGTATTGCGGTCGAAAAACTGAATTTCTTATTAATTAATTATTGAACTCATTAACTTTATTACAGGGCAAAATCCATTACGTGAAAAAATTTGGTTTATGAATATTTATTAATTTTTTACTAGGTCATTTTTCTGTTCCAACAAAACAATCGACGAGTTGAACTTAATACAGTGACTATGCAATTACAACAACGTAATGAATATAGTAAGAAATATTAGTAATTCAAGAAAAACAATTTTTATATCATAATTTTCTATTGTCTTTTGTTGGTAGATCAATTCAGAATAATGACTTGGGTGTGAAATGAATGGTTCTCGTGTCATATATTAATTGTTTATAAATATAATACCGAACAAATATGTAGATTGTAGATGCTGCTAACATTACTCCTAGATGTCTCTTAAACGGAAACACGCCATTGATATCGTTTGTTCGAATAAAGCCATGTTACAGTAGGCTTAGAAATCGTGATTCGAGTTTAACCAAGAATTTTACTCTATTATTTTGAAATTACTATATATTACTGAAGTTCTTGACAGTTTCTATGACATGTGTCAGTGATTTTTACTCTTTGGTTAAACGTTGTTATCTGATCTAATTGGTAAAGGTAGGAGAATCCTTAAAA